CGTTGGGCATTTAAGATTTTGGGGAATAAGGACAGAGACGCCCACTTCCTGCGTGTGTTTCCACAATATAATAATAGACAAATCCCATTATAGACTAATTTTAAAACTAGGCAACGAGGTGCAAATAAATCACCACATCAGGTAGAAAGTATGCTACAAATGAGTAAAATTCCAAAGTTTGGTTGCGAAATGTTGTAAAGCGCGGAAAATATAGCCTTGCAAATTTTGCAAATTTTCTAACATTTTCGGCCCAAATGTGCATGGTAGCAATTTCCGCACGCAATATAAAAGTATACCAAATTTGCAAATTTGCAAGGCTATATTTTCCGCATTTTGCAACATTTCGCAACCAAACTTCGCAATTTTACTCATTTTAATATGCTCTTTCTAGCTGAGGTGATTTAGTTGCATTCCCTTGCCTAATTTTAAAATAATAACTCTAGAATATGCCGATTATACATGAAGCATTTTCAAACCCGGTGTTACTGTTACTGTTGACAGCGTTGAAATTTGTTGAATAAACTAGTCCTGGGCGTCATGTATTCGAAACTGTTTTGAATTTGAATTTTTTACCTCGTTTCTTTAATGAGAGTTTCATAAAAATACAGTGCTGTCATTTCGGCCTAGTATTAAAACAAGGCTCCTTGGGTCAAAACCCAAGCCTCAAAACCCAAGGTTGAAGACGTTCTTTGCAATCGGTGTTATTATAAACGATTTTTCCAAGCGAATCGCAAAGACTAATCAAAACATATTGTTCTTGTTGATGCCGGCATCATTGTAACTTTTATACATTGAAATTCGTCATGGCCGTGATCGCCGAGAGCAGTAAATATAAAAGTCAACAAACTATAGGCGAGCATATTGACATAGTACCAGTGGTAATCATTAATCAAACCGCTTTCGCCTCCGAAATCAACGCGATTATTTTGAAACGCAGATAGAACACACAGTAAAGTAGTGGTGCTAAATTTTTACGCAGTAACACAGAAACATTTTGGAGTTTAACTGCACCGTTTTTGGCCAAAATTTTCGCAGTTAGTACTGTTTAAATACGATTTATATAGTTCAGACTTCATCCTCGCGACCTGCGCGTGGAATCGTCGTGTTCACTGTTCTGCAAAAATATTGAAACAAGCCGCGGGAAGTTTTTTGGCGATTTTATCTGAAAAGAAAGCTCCATTTTTCATTATAATCCAATTTTTTTCTGAATTCGAACAGTAGGTATGTTATTAACTAGTTTAACCTATCTTTTAGTGTGCTTTTACGTATTTCATGATGCTCAAAACTTTCAACTTGTTGTGTTGCGAACTGTCAAACTAAAATGATAATGTCTTCTATTAGCTCTTGAACAGTAGTGAACTGTCGCCAAAACTTATGTAAGTCCTGTCAATCAATTCAATTCACAGGTATCGTTTCATCTGCTAAATCAAATAAAACAGTTATGAGTTGTTTTATATGAAAAGTTAAACTTGTAGCAGTTCGATGTTTTGAAAAGTTTTCACTACCGATTTTAACCGCAAGAACAAATGTAAACTAACACTGGATTTAACACAATGCGTATAATAGTGTTTTTATTATTAGTATTTTCAAGATTAATATTTTATTTTCATTTCATTTCAAACAAGTCAGAAATATCTGCTTTCGTATGTATTGTAAGCCAAAAAGTTGAAATCACTATAAATCACACGCTACTATTTACACGCATGCGCAGATCGTGCTCATGTCGAGTTTTTTTTCCATGCTGGCCACGCCGAATTTAGCGATGATTTCCTCGTGTTTTCTTCGGTGAAATTTTTTTTAAACTTTGTAGTTTTGTTAAACAAGACGAGTGGTACAACATAGCCTCCTCCGCAGGCATCTCACCCGACGAATCGGGTGGTGGGAAAAAGTTTGGTGAGATGCCTGCCATAAATCGACACAAAACTTTGCACTGCGCATACCGGCTCGCGCATGCAAATTTCGACAAACTCAAACTTAGGGGGAGTAGGAAGGGCTTTCGGCAAGGAGTGAAGAAATTTTTGTTTTCAACACGATGGCTTAAAAGACGAGTAAAACTGTAAAATTAACGAATAATCCTGCTTTTTAACATTGTATATACACAGGGAACTTTGAATAAGGAGCTGACAACGTTATCGTCACCCGAAACGGCGATTTAATGGGATTATTTAGAGACAACGAGTGATTTTCCAGAGCAGTCAAATATTCACGTTGCCGTCGATTCATTCATGTCCAGACAGGGTTTTAACTGAAAGTTTATCGTTGATATATACATATTTCTACTCAAATTGTCGACTACATTTTATATGATAATAAGCGGAAAGTGCAGTGATTTAGTCGAAACTATAACACGAAAAGGAACGAGCGAAAATTGTTAATATATATTCAACTGTTGACATATCTGTGACTGTGGTAATATCCTCAAATGTACTTCTTGTCTTGTAACATTGTTTTAATACGCTTGTATGGAAGGAAAATCGTTAATAAAATTTTCTTATTGCGGAATACACTGTTCAATTTATCCCTTGGCCTTGGACAAAGACTAAGTTTTCAAACTTGAGTGTCTCAGATGTGGCAAAAATTTATTAAATAGCAAATGCTTTCTTAATTAAGTCAATACTGAGGTGCCTAGACATAAGGGAAAGGACAACTGGAATTTAATAGGAATCTAATAGATTTCCAAGTGACGGTTTATGTGGTGCAACAGAATATAAAGACCTGTCTTAATAACATTTGGCTTGGATTTGTTAATAACCAATGGAGGCATTACATTCCATTTTGCTTGCCAAGTTCACAGGCAAAATATTTGCATGGATAAAATCCATTTTGCAAGGCAAATTTCCCTGAAACAATCAGTCACTGAGGAAACGTCCCAGTGATAGCTAGTGTTTTGCTATTGTTATATTACACAGCAACCACCCTGATAATAGCCTTCCAATGGTGGCTATATATTAACTGTAAGCTGTGACAAGTTTACAACAATGAAACAGAATACATTTGGTAAGCTTTAGATTAACTCATTGTCTGCACTCTCCCACTGAAGAGTAAAATTATCTGATGTTAGACAGAGTAAAAGCAGGCACGCCCCTGCCAGGGAAGAGACAAAGAGGGCTTGTTGTGTGTATAGGGGCATTATTGGGTCTTACGTGATATACATGCCAATCAAGAGTTACTATATTTTAAAGCAATATATGTCAAGAGCAATTTTATTTGAGCATGAACAAGGAAGATACATATAATTAGAGAATATGTCAGTGCCATAGCAAGGTCGATAATTTGGGGGGGGGGCTCATATTCATATATTTGTGTTCACATACCATAAAAACAATCGATTTCAAAAGAAATTAGTAACGCAGAACACGAGTATATGAATATGAGCCCCCCGCCCCAATTATCGAGCTTGCTACGGCACTATATGCAGACACACAAATTCCTGTATTTATCAAATCATGGATGTCAGTAAGTGTAACACAAGTAGGCATACACAGTACTATGTTAGAAAGAGGTTGTCACATGCCAACTGCTTTTCACCACAGGGTTGGTAGGTTAGATGAATAATTAAGCCAACACGTCATTAGTGTTTCATTTTAGTTTAGAAAACAAAGAAAACAAAAGGCCTAGTGTGACTTTGTTTGGCCTAATTATTCAGCAAACCTACCAACCCTGTTTCACCAGGTTTAGCATATTTACATGATATTAAAGCCTAGTTCACAAATACTGTGGTATGTTGGCAGGTTACCAGTTAAACCAAATAATTCACAAAAGAATGTATGCATCAATCTCAGGCATATTAAATAATAATATGGTAGGCATATGTAATGCAGGCTTTATAAGATGCCAACAAAATTCTACAGTTAGTTTATATTTCCAAGTTGCAGTCACTTATTGAAATGGTTGCTTCAACAGAAAGATCTTTTCCTTTTATACATCATTTCACTGAGCATGTTGCCAAATGCCTGATTAATGATTTGACTATTGAAAAAGTATAGTAAAATATAAATCGAAATGGCAAAACAAATATTATTCCAGAAAACAATACAATTTAATATAATCCCTTTATTAAACAAAATATACCTTTCTTATCGTTCCATTCTTCGTTTTGCGTTCGAAATTATGCCAGATATCGATAATTTCCTCAAATTCAGAAATTGTAATTCCTCGGCTGAACAATTTATACATTTAATAATTGTAAACATTTGGCTGCTTTGAGTGAGCGATTCAAAATTTGCACGTCGTTTTTATACCGCGAGGGACATTGCGATATATAATTCAGGATATATTAAATGCTTTCAATTGACCAATTAATTTTCGTATAACTTGAATATTTCGACGCATTGTAAAACATCGTGCAAGTTTCGCTCCTCGCCGGAAGATTTCAAACTGAATATATAATTAGGGTCAAAAGCCTACTTAGGGGGTGGGGTAACGTGACACGGCAACTAATATTTGAGATACGTCGATTTTGTTCGATTTATGGCAGGCCTCTCTCCCAGAAAATTTTTTTTTCAAACCCATTCGCAGGCTAGAACCCATAGAGAGGCCTGCGGAGGAGGCTAGGTACAACATATCCAAATTTTAAAAAAATTCTACGAATAACTTTTTCTGTAACCGTCATTCACGAATATCTCGAAAACTTATTTGTAAACTTCCATTCAAATTTTGAGATGTTTTACCTTTATGGACCATAAATCTTCAAAAAAATTTCCAGAAAAATTCACCGAAGGAAAATATAGATATTGTCAATTTATTGTGAAATTAGACAATAAAAGTGCAAATGATTAAACGTCGTGGTTGCCATAGCAACACGAACACTGTTTTAATTTGTTCATAAATGGGCAGCACACAGCTTCTGAACTTTCATGGAAATGATCACATTGCCCTGTCTTAAGTGTATTTAATATAAATTCGGTTCAAAGCGAACGTTACTCAAAATACCTAGAATTTTAGAGAACTGTAGGAAGCCACCTTAATTTCATTTCTTTTAGCCAATTGTAACTTTGACAATGGAGATATCTGCCATTATCAAAATGGTGCTGGACAGTTTAAATGGACGATTAATAGAGGATCAACACCCAGTAGTAGTACCGGACCAAGCTCTGACGTCAGCGGCACAGGTAAACTGTTATAAAAATAGGTCCATTAGCTAGAAACAGTGAAAGATATGATTACGATTAGATTTTTTAACATTGGCTTTGGACATTTGCGACAAATAACAATTAGGTTTGAGTAGGATCTTAACAATAACTCTTCTATTTGTTAGCACTAAAAATAACGTCGTTAGATTATTGAACTGTCCGCGTTTTGCTCATCCTATCCGAAATAGATAAGAAAACTTAAACCTTTTGAGTAAAGGTTCCTCATCTGCAAATTAGTTCACATTTCTTTTTTTTGCAAGTAACTTGGACAAAAGCTCTGCTGATTATTGCAGCATAGTGCCTACACAGACGCCATGCAGATTATTTAGACAAAAAGTATTAATTCTAGATTAATGCACGCCACTCACGCTCACGTTGTAAGATGCTTACCTCTGAAAGAATGGGCAACATAGCCGGATATTTCACGTAACGCGATTTCAGTTGATTCAAGAACAACTTTGTGACGTTGCAGTTAATATTGTTTTGATCAATAAATTTTTTTCCCAACTTTTTAATAAAGGTTTTTATGTATTCATCGAAACTTCAAGTCCACGACAGTTTGGTGATAATGCTACAATCCTCACACCTTATTTGAACGGCCCACAATGCATGAAATTTTCTTACCATATGTACGGTAATGGTATTGGAGACTTGAACATCTACGCGAATAAGCAAAAGATGTTTTCAAAATCAGGAAATTAAGGAAACCGTTGGGTCGGTGTGGAAACACCAATCCTAGAACTTGGAAAATATATGGTGAGTAAAGATCGCAGAATTTCAGATGCGCTGAAAATAGCAGACTATTTTAAGGAAAAAAAACTTTCTTTTCAAAATGAGAAGGAAGAGGATCCTGAGCAAACTTCGTTACGAACCTTGCTCATTTTTTACAGGTGTCTGAATACAAAATAGCTTTTCACATAACCCGAGAGGATATTCCAACGCTCTTGGTGACAAAAAATCGTTCTTATTTCGTTGTCAAGAGCAAAAAAAACCCTGAATTTTCAATTTCTTGTATAAATATTTAAGGTTAAGTTCGAAGGTGTTCGCGGTCGTAATTTCCAAGGGGATATTGCAATCGATGCTATCAGCTTCACTCCTGGAAAATGCGCATTCCAAACACCAAACCCATCAACATCTCGTCCAACAACTACAACAATAGGACCAACAAACCCTACGACACAAGCAGGTACTGTAATGGTCTACCACTTTTACCATTTTTTGTTAATACAACCAAGTCATTATATATTATACAGCAATGATGATAACATGTCTTGGTTGCGTTCCACTGCCGGCCATTCATTTCCCAAGGTCTGTATACCGACTTACTGCGACGTACAATACCTTTTAATAGGACTTTGCCTTGAATTTGAATTTTGATAGAAATTTCTATTTAATAACGTGGTCTAACACAAAACAAAACTTTTTTCAAGTTTTTCAACAATGTGAAGATTTTATTATATTTTATTATGTTGCATACTATTACCCATCTCCAAAAACGTAACTTTACTGAATGTTGTTGCCATGGGAATGAAGATATCGGACTCCCAGCAGAGAAAATAGTGTATTTTTCAAAACAAATAATTAAGAAATTAAGAACTATTTAAGGTTCCAAAAACCTTTCATATATCACTTAGATCAATAGCTAGGAGGTGAACTAAAATTATTTGGCTACTGCAAGAGTAACCTCGTTCCCAGGGCCTTTTTTTTAAATGCAGCGAAGGGAACGGCCCTGTCACCGGCTGGTCTTTTATGTATTCTGATTGGTCAATGACAGGTACATTATTATGCAATCCTGGAATAATTTATACACACTATGAGATAAATTAACATTTTCCTGCAATGAATGTGCATTATTGCTTTGTCTGTCTGCAGAGAAATATTTTTTGCGTGGAAAAAAGGTTAAATTCGATAAGATTGACACACGATTTGTCGAAGGTTAGCATTATTGTTTGTTTTAAATTTTGAAAGAACATGAATTGTGTACTACAACACACCTCTGACCGATTATTTAGGGAAAAATGTGCCTTCATTTAATGGCGTCGTATATCGTTATTGTTCTGCACAAATACTTTCTTGTATACTCTGGGTTTATAAATATGACCTTTAGTATTATTGCTAATAATATTTCAGAAAATCCTGCCTCTCGGGCATGTCTATACTGATTTGTTAGAAAGAGTGGAGGTTTTCCAGAGGTGGTGCGTTACTACAGGCGTCAGGGGGATGTCTCCCTGAAAATCAATCATTTCAATATATAATAAGTAGTATTCATCACTCAAATATGGACTACCAGAGTTTTCTTCAAGGGGATGCTGGACACAACTGGGCAGTGCACACAGCACCCCTGCACTGCACCGGTACATCCCCGCTGTTCCCGGTCATTCATGCTTCATTTTGAAGCAAATGACATCTGTGATCAGGGCTGGGTCAGAATCAAACTCATGCGAACAGCTTCTAAGTCCTAATCGTATTGCTAATTATGTACACATTTTATTGAATAAAACGTAATTATATACATTGTTTTGTTGTTTATATTAACACCTTGTACTTGGACAGTGTACCCATTCAAAGCCAAAGACATTTAAGAAACAATTATCGAGGATTTTGCACGATAAAAATATATTTACAAATAAGTGCTCTCCATGGTTCAATTCTTGAATTTACCAAGTAAACCCCTTCTCAATTAGAACTCACTTGAAGTGACTGGGGCAAGGTAGCTATAAGTATAAGGAGGGATATAAAAGTCAATTAAAATTTCCAAATAGAGCATTTCGAATAGACCATTGTGAAAGTTTTATTAATTGTTTAACCCTTTGTTGTGGCAATGCATGTGCTCTACTTTAGGCATCTAATGCCAGATGATTTTACTCGTCAAGGGGAGAATGCTGCCACTCAATGAATTAATATATTCTCAGAACAGTTACCATCAAATTAAATAGATTTTGCTGGTGAAATATCCCATTTTATGGACTATTCATTATTTATACACTAGGGTAGAGTGGGAAAAAAGGAAGGTGTCGTTGATTTGTTGATTTGTGAATGTTAGTGGAGTGGGGGGGGGGAGTGATTGTTGTAAAAAACTGAATAGTAACTGGTTTCAAAAAATATTTGACTGCATATTAGTTGCCAAATGACATGAAATTACATTGATATTATTAAAACACTATAAATATGAAATTAGGAGAAGAATTGTTGTAATAGAAATATAATTTTAAGACAAATCATCTAAAGGAAGCAATCATTCTAGCTATTATAGTATATGTTACAAAATTTATTCTCTTCATATTCGGGCATTCACATTTATATAGTCTCAAATATTTAGGGGGTCTCCATTAATAAAGAGATTAAAAAAGACAGCCCCATGACATTTTGACATTAGAATCTCCCACCCCACCCTAGGGTATAATGAATGGTCGCAAAAGTACATGCCATCTTGCTAACTCTTACTGGCTGACCAACTTGCTGCTTTTATGCAAAATCAATTCTCTTACTTTATCCCTGGGAACAAAAATTCAAATCAACTCTACATTCTGATAAGGCTGATAATGTGCAGATGGTAACAGGAAGAATTGAAGCATGCAAGCAGCAAGCTTTACTGGGGTACATACTATTCGAAGCACAATTTGCACATGCTAATTTGCCAGTCATGATTTTAAACGTAATATTTCTTGTCTGATATAAAATTCTTAAGGTCTTGCTTACATTTTACTGGAAGCAAACCAAGATGCATGTCTATTAAAAATCTGTTTTGGGTCATATCACTCATATGTCAGCTTTGCAGTTTCAACAACATTTGGCTGCGAATAAAACGTAAACTGAAGGAAAGGGCATACATGCAGCACTTCGTCTGTATTTAAAATATCAATGAATAGATATTCCAACCATTCGCAGTTATCACTGTATATTCTTCATAAACTCGCTCCAACACGCCAGAGTCTTCGAAAGGGTAAACACCACGTTTAATTGACATACCCAGTTCAAAACACTTTCCGTGTCCTCTTAGGCAAGCCTGTCCAGCTGGAGAACATCTGTCGAAATACTAAATCTATTTTTCGCATATTTCAGCTGTTAATTTTGTTTAATAACGAACGAACGAAGTTGGAAGAACGGCAACTACATAGTTCCCGTGTAATAAAAGCTGAAGAATTTGATTTGGAATAAGTGTCTAGCAAAAAGAAGGAAAAATTTCCGCGAATAAACGCATTTTAAGCCGCTCTGAACGCTTAAATTTTGTGGACACTCTTACATTGGTGGCTATCTTGGATTTTCATTTCGCATATTTAATTTTATCGTTAATTTATTTAAAACCACGATTCGTGATTTTGAAAGCCAGCCGGTCCCAGAGTCTTTTCCCTACGCCGCATTTTTAAAAAAGGCCCTGGAAACGAGGTTGCTGCAAAAGGCGTGGCGATAAATTTGTGTCCATAAGTGTATCAAATTACAACAACGGCGATTTCTTCATAAAAATGTAACTGGTTAACACTATCCTAGTTCACCTTCTATAGAATGATACAAACTATTCTAAAAATTTCAGACCAATAGCAACTATTAACAAGAATACATTACAAGATATCATGTTTTGAGTATCATGATACGGGTAAAATTTGCAAGCATTTGAAAAAGCAGGATCGAAAAATTAGTTGTGGTTCATAAGATATAAATAGGTGTCAACAAACTGAATTTTATCCAAAATATCACAAAAATGCTCCCGGTTTGTAAAAAGTAACCCCCTCCTGTTTCTGTTTATCACCCTTCTTCTTCTTCAAGCCACACAACACATTTCTTTGCATTTTGTTGTCATCCCTTGCCTTACACGACTAGAGTAGTAGTTTCGTGGTCGTGCAATTTTACAATCACAGCCGTGATTTCACATTAAATTGCACTTCACAGAGTTCAATTATCATTATTAGTCACATTAAATAACCTTACTTATCAAGAAATTTGATATACAAGTATTAGTTAAGCACAAATAATAAAAATATGAATGTCCCAATTAAAAAAAATGAATACTTCAGACCCCGGAATATCAATAGGAAATTGTCCAATGTTTGTCCTACCACAGAAGATATCAAAATGATTTCATTGTTACTACCTGGTACAGATAAAAATTTATACAAACTTTTCAAAAATTCGAATTCTTTATTATAATTTATACTGTAACAGATTTGGATCCAGTAACAGCCAAACATCTAAAAAGTGAGACTTGAAAACATCAGGAAAACAAACCATAGCATGAAAACATCTTAAAAATCCATGATACAGACTAAGGCAAGATGTACGCTTAGCAATTAAACCAATTAAATTTTGTTGTACTTGTTTCTTCTGTATTTTAGTTTTTTGAAGATATTTTCATGTTTTAGTTTTAAAAACATATTTAAGGATTTATTTTAAGCAGTAGATTGCTACAATATTTTTTCCAAAATATATCCGCTGGCTTATTATAAACCGTATAATTTGGTCTTCGTTTTGTAACAAAAGACATTTAATCCAGTTTTTTTTACAGATACACAGCGTGTATGCGTACATTTCCCCAACGATGAATTACACAGTTGATAGTTGGGATATAAATGATGCTAGGGTTGCTTGCTTACAACTTGGATATTACGTATACGATGGCATTAAAGCTCTGGGAGGGAGCGATGTTCCTGATGGAACTGGACGGATATGGCTAGATAATGTCGCTTGCACTGGAAGTGAAGAAAATTTAAGCAATTGTCCTCATAATGGATGGGGAAGTCATGATTGTAGGCACAATGAAGACGCAGGAGTCGAATCTCCGTTAGTAGGTAATAATGGGATTATTTTCAGTGTCAAAAGCCTTAGAGATAGAAGTGATACTAAATATGATTTATCGGGCACGCATCACCTGACTTTGGCATAATCACGGAGCGAATATACACAGTATTCACCAATTATTTCCAGAAACGGAAATGAATAATGCAACAATATTCGCCAAGACGCAAAGCGTGAAAGGTGAATATCTGACCCATTGGCGAAGCTATCCATGCTACTGGTCATGCTATGCTAATAAACCAGCGTCTAAATAAGTTAAAAACAACGCAATTGTAAAAGTTGGGATAATACAAATAATTCAAAATTTGCATAGCATGATCAGTTGCTCTATCTATCTCGCCAGAGACCTGCCCACTATTAACTGACACTGAGATAAATAATTGTCCGAACCAACGGTACGAAGCGCCGTTCCGGGCGTAAGCCCAGAGCAAAGCAACTAATTCTGCCTGGATATTTACATCTGGCGAAAGGAACGCACTAGAGAAGTCTAAAGTTTATCAAATATAGCGGGCGCATGGCTATGGTTCAATGCTCATGGGTGGTTATCCTCACTGATGTCAAAATATTTTGCGGACTGTTGTGAATAGCAAACACTGATTGGTTAAATTTGAAATTTGCATTAAAACGACTGGTAAATGGCAAACATTTCTTGCAAATATATTGTATTTTTGCAAGATTTTGCAAATTTTAAAACCTTGAGAAAAAGAAGGGAGCAAAGCCGCCGACGTTGATAAAGGAAAGCTTGTTTTTAATATTGATGTATTATATGTACTGTTTAATAAACGAGCAGGAGTGTTTTATTAGGTTTAAAGTCACGAGCGCGCAGCGCGAGTGGCTTTAGACCTAATAAAACACGAACTGTGAGTTTATTAAACGGCTTCAAATACGACTACAAATTCAATAGATTTACTGCCTTATTAGTATTGCCTATATATATATATGAGAAGGTTAATTGGTTAATTAAATACTAATTGTTCTACCTATGCAACCGTTCATAATATTTTTGCTACATATATATATATATATATATATATATATATATATATATATATATATATATATATATATATATATATATATATATATATATATATATATACAGGGTGTATCAAAAAAAGCGCAATCCTTGACTGAAATGTAAATTGCTAAACAAATAATAGACGAAAACGTTAAAGTTTACATTCATTTTAAAGCGTAGCCATTCGGCTTTCTAACAGTGGGTTGTTTCTTAAATTTGACTCATTGGTTCGCGGATAATAATACTTTACGTTATTGCGATTGGAGATTAAAAAAATTGAGATGGAATAACAAATCGTTCTCATGAAAATAACCGATTTTTTCATT